GGGGGGGGGGGGGATGCCGTGTTCCTTTACTGATGCAGATCTACCAAAATATTTGCGATAAGCGAGACTTGGGCGAGACGATAGGTCGGTTCTCTTTACCCGAACCAGCTTGCATTTTTGTCTTTGGTGGCGGAGCAAGTATACAAGATGAGGCAATAACTATCGCCATCTTGAACATCCTTGGAAAGTGAAAATATTTGTTTCACGATTGGACGAGGATGAAAGAAGTTTGCATTCACAAAACGTGTTCGAACTAACGACCATCATCGGCATCAATGTAATATCCGTCGGATAAACGTTTCCCCCACCGTCATCTTTCGAAGACACTCAAGGTGGTGACAGTTGTTCTCACCTCACCCTGTATAACTTAAGGTCTGTTTTTCCCGGCTGAACTAGGTTGCACTTTTCGCTGTTAGAACGAAGCAAGTCGCACGACAACCTGACGTTGAAAGGCGAAAATAGAGGAACGAAGTTCCGGTGCAAAGATGGTTCGGTTAAAAAAAACAAACCCCTCTCTCTCAGCGTCGAGGAGAGGAGGAAGGGAGTTTCGGCGCTGGTTCGGCTAAAAGGAACAGGCCCGATGACGCGTGAAGCACGAGGTTCACACGATCCGCCTGCCGTCTCCCTCGTGCAAGCAAACGCTGCGACTCGCGGGCATCAATAATCCGCCGCGAGCAGCAGCGGCGGCATCGATCATTATCCCAGCGGCAATTACCGTTTGTCGTCGTTATTACAGTATAAGCTCGGTCTCGCGTCGGCCACGCGGGGGACGGCGGATGGGGGAAGCGGCTCGATCGCTTACCTGCACACAGGGCTTGCAGAGATTCACACAGAGGCCGTCCGCGTCCTTGCTGTAGTGCTCGACGAGGTCCTGCAGGTTCCTGAAGGTGGTTCGCCTGGCGATGAAGAAGCCGCCCTCGTCCAACTGGCGAATGCGGTAGTGCTTGACCGTGTCGCCGTCGCGCACTGCAAGGTAATCGTATCTCGGTTACACTCTCTAGGGTACTCCCCAGGTCGATCGGACGTCTCGCGCCGCTCCGGCCGGCCGAGATCGTTATTCATTTATTAATATCGCACGGTGACCGCATTACACGATCGACCGTTGCGGCCGTCTATTATCGTCCGATCGCGTTACCTGAGAGAGAGTAATCGTTGTGCCGGCTCTCGGAGTCTCTTATCAGGAAGGCGCCGTGGTCGTTCTCCGGCAGCAGCAGCTTCTTCTCCGCCTCGATTCGCTTGATCTTCCGGAAGTACCATCTGCAAGTATGCGCGTAACACAGCGATCACGAGAACGTATCGCGCGCGGATTTCCACCATTATTTTTGCCTTCTGCCGACAGCCGGCGAGAAAGAGGAGACTCATCGCCTCGTGTGAGTCAACCTCCAGGATATTAATATTTTCAGCAGTTCGCGCGATCGAACCGCGATAACCTGCGTTCTATCGTTATCACGACGAAGCCATTAGGTGTGCGTGGGGGTTTCAGCACTTTAACTGTGTGAAAATAAAGCGAAAAAAGGACACGCCTGGCGTGTAGGAGACCCCCGCAAGTAGACCGGAAGATAATCCGCGCGTTGATACACGTCCAAGCATTCTGAAGAAGCACAGAGCTTCTCACAAACGTATTAACATTGATAATATCAGTTTCATTACAATGGCACTATAAAATCCGTGCTTGGCCTCCTAAAGATCCGCAAACGTTTCCTTCCTTCGGTTAAATGTTTGTTTTCTATTTCTGAACTGGCTGCACTAATTCAAGAAGGCTGCATCCCGATATCCACCGCCAGTACCGAAAATCTATAGTTCACGTTACGTATATATAGGACGCCCCAGAATAAGGAGAACAGTTAAATATCTCCTTTGTTTTTAGTGATATGAGAAGTGTATTTGGAGCACAATTGGCACGATTTCGAAATAGGTATTCCTATAATACCGCTGAAGGAATATTTTTTTATAATCGTTTTCTCGATCGCTTTTAAGGTGTCCCAAGATATTCAGGTGTTCTTCTTATGTTGGGACATCCTGTATTAAGACACAGTAAAGAACTTTGCGTTACAAATAGTTCGCCCAAAATTTTTAAAGTTACTTTAGCATAATATGTTAAAAAGTATGTAAAAAAAAAAAAGTAAGATAAATATCATTATATTCATCTCGTTAAAGTGACGCAAAAAATGTGAGCGGACCATTTGTAACACAAAATTTCTCACCGTGTACACGCGGAAAAGTATGCCGTTGAATCAATACAATTTCCAACAGCGCGCGTAACTGGAGCAAAACTTCTCGATTCGATAATGACATCAAACAAATACTTCAATTGTTGAAACAATACATAACATAAAAGGTTTTAACGACATTTCCCGTCATTGAATCTGACTTTTTACTCCAATTACGTTGTTGTTGTAAATCTTATATTGATCCAAGCAGCATCTTTTTCCCAGTATCGGTAACGAACGTCGGAACCTTCGCAGCATTCTTAAATTATTGCCGCCAGTTCAGAAATGGGAAACGAGCCCTGGATAAAACGAAAACTTGCGGAGGGAGGAACTTTCGCGATGACGCTTTTTGAAAGCCCGCATGACGAACACGTCGCAAAAGACGAAAAAAAAAAAGAAGAATCTACGCAATAGACGACGACGACGACGACGACTCACGGTTCCGCCTCGATCGACTTCAACTTGGCCACGTAGTTGCTGGGGATGTAGCCCTCCTGGCGGGTCCTTTTACTCCGCGCCAGCCACCAGTCGCCCTGGGTGTCGTTGAGTATCTCCAGATGCTCGCCCTTCCGGAAGCTGAGGTCTTCATCGGTGCGAGCGTCGTACTCATAGAGGGCGACGAATATCTTTGCGGTCGCAACATCCGTATCCGGGATCTGCGGCATCGGTCTGATGGGGTCGGGCGGCGGGGTCGGCACCGGGCTGGCCTGCGACTGAACCGTCTCGATGTTGGGATTGCCTATCCGGTCCGGCTTCTCCTTCTCCACGTCCGTGGGGTTGCTGAAGCAGTTGCCCATGTTGTCAGGTGTCTCGGGGCTTCCTTCCTCAGATGAAGCGCGTCCCAGTGACCGGTCGCAGCACGCTCAGGAGACCTCTTCGCTCTTCCGACAGTCCCCTCGGTCGCATCTAATTCACAACCGGACGTTGAATACGGAGGATCCCACCAGCGGGATGAGCAACGGCGAGGCCGTCGCGCGGCCCTCCTCGTCCGGGACAGACGCAAGTCGAACGATCGAATCGCACGCGCGCTCACCGAGCACCAGGTCGATCGAGAGCGGGTATCTCACCGGGGTCCGATTCCCCGCACGTGCGGCACTCGCTCGGTCGCGCCCGTCGCGCCTGGGAGCGACGGAGATAGACAGATAGATAGAGCGCGCGATAGAGGGAGAGAGAGAGATCTGTCAGCTGTGTCGCGCCGACGGCAGCGGATCGGCGAGCGATCGCGAAGCAGGCGTCGACTGGATAACGCGGGGGGAAGCGAGCGGGCGAGAGGAAAGGATCACATCCGCGAGGGAAGGCCAACAGCAGCGCGACCACCGAGCGGACTCTCCGGATATCCTGGCCGGCCGCAGCAGATCGTCGGAGCGGCGACAGCCGCGATGCATCGAAGGGCCGGGCGATCTCACGCTCGCCACCGAAACGATCCCGTGCTCGGCGAAAGCTCGTACCGCAGCTGTTGCACTCGAAGTATCGCCGCGGAGTCCAGCGGAGTCGGCCGTACGTCATCAATCACATAGTCCTCTCCTGTGCGTGGACACGAGCGAGGGAACGTGTACGCGCGCGTATCTGCGTCCTTACGAGCGTGCGTTCACGCGTAGGAACGCGAGAGAAAGAGAGAGGGAGACGGGGATCAGGTCGGCACCTCTCACCGAAACGCAGCTTAGAAAGTAGGCGAGCCAGGCGGAGGCGCCATTGCAGGCACCGAGTCACAGATCCGTCGAGAGCCCTTCCCGTGCGTATCTATCCGTCCTCGCATGCGCGCGTGAGTCCGAGCCGACCGCCTTTCTTCCATACGAATCGCGCGCGACACACGCCCAAAGATTCCGCCGAACGTGAACGAGCGAGAGTCGGAGCCCTCGGCGTCTCGACGAGGGAGCGCACGGCGATATCGCCGAATGCGGTGCACTCGCGGGAGAGGGAGCGACGATATCGTCTCGTTACTCGCGCCTACGTACCGCTCTCATCCGCCCGACGAATATGCTGGTCGAGAACGCTACGACAGAGAGAGATAGACGACGCAAAGTATCACCTCCGATGGATCGCGAACCACTGTCACTAACCGTCATACGTACGTGACGCGAGCGCGCCTAGTCACGGAGAAAGTCGCCCAGGAGCGCGAAGTGGCGGCGCTCGGCTGCGCTTTCCTGCGCGACGGCGGAGAGGGCAGCGCGTCCGGCGGTTCCTCCTGAGAACCGATAAACGTGACCTCGGCCGGTGAAGTCTGATCGACGGAGTGCCGACGCGAGACTAAAGCTTGCTCTACAATGTGCTCCTTGCGTCTTGTTTCTTGCTCCTTATCTTTCTTCCGTAAGAACTTTTAGTGTCGGTCTACAATAGGTATTTTAAGCCTCAAGGAATTGACCAGTTAATTATTCTAACAGTTAATTATTCTCTTCACATTCGACTGTGATTGGTCAATTTCTTAAAGCTTAAAATATCTATTGTGCACCGACATTTATCTTTGGAAAAGAGAGGGTAAGAAACGAGACGCAAAGAGCACATTGTAGATCAGACTTAAGGGAGAATTCAGACCTGACAGAAAAGCAGAAAAGCAGAAAAACAATCAGAACTCGCGCTGGATTAAGCAGAAGATAATAAGAAGGAAGAAACTGTCGACTTCCAGCGCAAATTGACTAATCGCAATCGATTATTCTTCTCACATTCAACTGTGATTGGTCACTTTCTTAGTACTTACTATTGTAGATCTGGGCTTACGGTTCTCGCAGCTAATGATGCGTTATGCGACACACGATATTCAACGAGTACATTGCTTCTCCAAAAGAGCTGCACGTTCATTGGATATCGCGTCTGCGAGAGCCATTACAATAATAAGACATTAATACGGATTTATCACTTTGTAAGGACCTATGCACAGCAATTAATACACAGTTTCTGATAGGCTGGAAATCTATTGCCTGTGGTTTTTATTGTGCATAGGCCTTAAGCCGCTTGCTTTCGCTCACTGTAACGTCTGCCTGTGCTTTACTAGCTGCGTTCGGGGAGCACGCTATTACCGCTAACACGTCATTTTAGTTTTGTGCTTCATTAAATATACAACAAGGAAAGAATAACTCGTTAGCGCTGATCAGAACTAATAGCGCGCTCTCCGAACACATCCCAATTCAGATTTCAGTTGACGCGCACCCCCACTCCAGTGACGTCATCCGTTTAATTCAGCCGCATCTGGAACCTAGCGTAGATGGCACTGAAAATTGTTTCCAATTTTCGCAAAAGCAAGTTCGACGCGTGGTGTTGTCGGGAAGGAGTTTAGGTCACTGCAATGTCGCGAACAAAAAAACAAGAGAAGAAACAAAAAGATAGAAAAATAAAAAAAAGAGAAGAAACGAGGAAATAGAAGGAAGCAAGGAAATAAAAAAAAAAGTAGTACAACGAAAGCGTCGACAGTGGAAGCCAGAAATTATGGCGAAAGCAATTAAAGCAGTGTGGAACAAAACTTACCCGGCAATAAGAGCAGCAAAGCGTTACAAGGTTCCCTACTCGACACTTTATAAAATGTTAAATGCAGCAAAACCAGGATCCAAAGATCCATTAGTTATAATTGCGGGAAGAAGGGAAAGAAATGGTATATTTCCTAAAGAATTGGAGAAGACAATAATGGAATATTGTCTGTTAATAAAGAAGAAGTTTTATGAAATAAGTTGTAAAGACATAAGGCGACTAGCTTATCAGATGACAATCAAGAGTGGAATAACTACTACATTCCATGACAGTATGGCCGGTAGACAATGGTTTTATCGCTTCATGTCTAGGCATAGCAATGAGCCGAGCGTCGGAAGATCTAAAATTACATCGCTTGAACGCATCTCAAACTTTTTTGACCTTTTGGAAATGGTATATTCGAAGCAACACTATCCTCCTGGTCGCATTTTTAATGTTGACGAAATTGGTTTCGTTATTAAATCAAAACTTCCATTCGTGAGAGGGCTGACAGTAGAGAGGCACAATGGGACAAGAAATTAATGAAAGGAGCACCCCTGGAGCTATAGGGAGATGTCATCCGTCAGGCTAGACCCAACTGGACACTTTTTACTGAGTGGTTTTCTCATTTTATTGAGAAAACAAGACCCACAGCTGAATCTCCAGTTTTACTCATCTTAGATTGTCATTACACGCATAGGAACTTGGATGTTATTTTAAAAGCACGAGATAATCATGTGAACATCCTGGGTTTGCCAAACTATTACAAAATGCTTCCAAATCCAGTGGAGAAGGCATTCCTTTTCCCTTTGAGGAGATATTACAATGAATACATTACAAACACACTGGAAAAGCAAAAATTATACACCTACGACATTGCAAGACAATTTGGCAAAGCATATCTCGCAACTCAAAGAATGAAAAATCCAATTGATGGTTTCAAATTGACTGGCATATATCTACCAAGAAATTGTTGCAGGTGTTGAATGCAGGTGAAGACAGACGATGACGATGATACAACCTCCTGAATTGCCAAGTGATTCAACGGATGCTGAAGAGACATTAATAGAGGATGAAACAGCAGGACCATTAATAAGCTACGTCTTGCAAGAAGATATTTATTTTTAAACAAATATGGAAACATGTGAAAGAAGAAGCTAACAAATAGAGTCCGGAAAGCACTTCCAGTCACTGTCCTGACCAACTCTCTATATAAGAAAGGTTTCCAAAACTACGATAACTACGAGAGCAGTCCAAGCAGTCTCTAAAGATACAAAAGAAAGCACAAGAAAGCTCAATTAGGAACCAACAAATGACCAAACAGGCGCACAAAGCAGGCAAATATGTGAAAAGGAAAGCGAAAATTACAAGAAAAAGATGAAGATAAAGGAAATGCTCCAGATAACGAAGCAAAAAGAAAGCGATCTTCTGTTAACTTAAATTTAACTTTTTGGGAAAGAAACTCCTGGAGAAGGAGATATATGGTATCTATGGGTTTTTTATGATAATTCGATTGAAAAGATAGGACCGAAAGATATGATGGACCATAACCGTCTACTACCTTCATGACTCATGATTAAAAGTTAACCACAACCATGTTCACCCTCCGTGTGATTCATGGATCATTTGGGAAATGGTAAAAATTTGAATTGGCTGCAAAATAAAATTAGAGGTGAGACCCGGAATTTCCATTTAAGGAAATAGTAATAAGGAGAGGTCTATACTTGTATGCGTAACAGTCGCATAGTTCTATATATCATTAGACCGCTAGCTCTTTTTATTTTGTATTACAAATTGGATCCCAAAAAGTAGGTATTGCATATTACTTGTTAAGAAGAAAAAAAATAGGATTGGAGATAGATAAATATAATATGGCCGATGTCTACAATCAATCCGACGTGAATGTCATCCTATTATTAATGATTCTGTACATATTTTTCGGAACCATGTACTTTGTAGGAATTAGCGGTCTGGTAATATATAGAAGTCTGTTGATAGTTGTCGTCAATTTACTGAGCAATTACGAACATGAAAAATCACGAGTGTTCCCGAAATGACTCACGAATCACACAGCGTTAGCGAAAAATACACTGTTGCAGGCATCAACATATAGTACTGGACGGAACATTTGGTTGAAATCGTGTTGACAGGTGTAGAAAGAGACAAGATGTGTGAGTAGGAGCGGCTTGTGGAACAACAGGACCATGATGCACTTATTATTCTATTGTCAGAACCTGCTGACAGAATCTGTGGCAGATAGTGTGCAAGGTCTATTTTTATTGGATTGGCCTACCTGTTTTAAGACCCGGTAAATATCATTATGGCCAATGCAATAGATATATTATGCACAAATGCATAAATACATCTGTTATGTTGACTTAACCTTATTTAACGGGCCGCAAGCATATAACTGTAAATATTATTGATTTTACTTACGCATGAGTTGGTACATCTTTGTTTAACCCATTCGTTTTGCACAATAACGAAACCATATTATTGATTATTCATAGCGCATATCATATCACTCAACACATACACACATGTACACAGCACATGTCAAGGATGTCCCGAACTTTTAAGAATACGATACTGTTCCTCATCTCCTTAGGCAAAATTCAACCAATGAACAGAGAGTAGGAAGAGAGATCCGTGCCTACACATCTAGCTCTCTCTTTCTAGATCTCTCACGCGAAAAATCCAAGAAATCTTGCCACGTGTTTCGTCTAGTACTATATGTCGACAATTACAGGACTACTGGGCCTTGATTCTCGAAAATATGTGAAAAATATCGTATACGATAAGCTAGGATTCATTTTACGTTGCAAGCACTTTGGAGCGCCGTATATAAATCATCGCAACGTGAATCCTAGATATCGTATACGATATTTTCATACTTTGGGGAACCAGGGGCCCCCCACTATTCGAGAATTGGGCCTCAGAACTCAGGGTCTGATTCTCAAAAGCGTACGAGATTATATCGTATATGACACGAGAAAAATAACTAGAATAATACTATAACCGATCGATAATCTAGTATTATTCTAATTACTTTGCTCGTGTCGCATAAGAATTGAACCCCCTTTTCTGTAAGCATAAATACTATCTCTCGTGATATAATATATTTATGAATGTAATTTATTAATATGTATTAGCGCGAGAAGTATTAATGTGATTGTATTCATGTGAGAAGCATATAGCCCCAGCCGTATTATTAGACGCATCTTAATTTTTTATAATTTTTTACAGACGTGTTTTGAGTGTGTGACAATTGGAATTTAGTTTTATTTTTGTTTATTTGTGACTTGAATCTTCAAATTTCTTGCTTACTAACGGAAAAGTAAATTTTTGTGTAAAAAATATTAATATTGATTACAAAAATTATGGGTAAAATTGTGGGTAAGTGATTTGACATCTCAAAACGTTGCAGAGGTAAAAGCGCTGATTGACACCGAAATTTATTCCAATCGAGTGAAAATAAAATTAGTAGCTTTCCTTCTCCTCTTAACCTGCATTCTATTACAAAATTAAAATGCGTCTAATAATATGGCCATAATATGTAATAATGTGAGTATATTTATTAATGTGACAATTTAATTATTTATTTCTTAAACTACCGTTTTTTTACTTTGATTTACCACTAGCTTATTTATATTTTTATAATGTTATTATTATTATTATTATTATTTTATATTTATTTCAGTCAAAATAAAGAATTTTTCAAGTAGAAGTTGAATTCATTATTTCTTCCAAATATCGTTTTATTTCGGTGCCTGAAAAATAATTTTCACTTGTCTAAATAATTGTTTTTTTTCTGGCGAACATTGCTAAACCTTTTTTTTTTTATGAAGAACCATCCTTTAAGAATCAGTCTACAGGGATTTTGTTTTTGTTCAATGCGTTCAAAAGTTACGAATTTTTCCTTCAAGTAGAAAAATTGTATGTATCTCTCCGTGTTTTCCTCAATGAAAAGAAAGTTAAAAACATTGAAGAAAAATCGCATGTATCTCTCTGTGTTTTACTAAAAAAAAAGTAAACATTGAATGTTAAACGTTTATAATCGAAAGTAAAGACCTAAAATAATGTCAAAACATTTTTCTCCAATTTTTTTTTATTTACACAGCGAGAAAAGTGGTTCTGTTCATAAACGGCCTAATAGCTATGGCCATAAATACTATTATAACATATTTGTTAATTCCGAGTAACGGTAACATTATATAAATGCTTTATGTTTGCATTCAACAACGTAACATGCATTTGTATATTATTACACGTACATGTGTTATATTGAAGTTACATTGTTGAGTACGAAATTATAACATCATTGTAAAGCTATTGTTTAAAGTTATATAACTACAATTAAACGTGTCGACTGGAGACCCACATGAATCACACGACGTTAGAGAAACAGTGAATCATACAGAGGGCAAATATCAAACGATTATAAAAGAACACGAGTTATTCGATACATTCTACTAATATTTTTAAGAAAATAGTAAAATTTGTTCTTTAACATCACACATTATTTCTTCCAAATAATCTACTATTTCTATAATATTGTACAATGTATTAATCACAATTCCTTCAAATAAATGTATAGAATATTCAAATATTCAAATAAATGTATAGAAAAATTGTATATTATCATGTAATTTAATCAATTATATGACTCTCATCATTAGTAGGATACATTGAATTATATAACGAACTGGAAGAAATACTGGCGTGGTGGAGTCCAGTGCCTTTAAGACAGGTCTGTAAGATAAAGGCCTTGTCGAAGTAGAATCTCGTTCTCTGTTTTAATATGCTATACTCGCGTAGGCCGATATTCATAGTTGGATCTTATATATAAGACCGTCTTAGGTTCACCTTCAGATGCTATATAGCTCATTTGGCTACATTTGCAAAAGCATTTGAAGGTGAACTTAAGACGGTCTTAAATATAAGATTTGGCTATGAATACCGGCCATAATCTAATAATAATAGTAGTAATAATAGTAGTATTATTAAAAAAATAAACATGAAGTCAACATTTCTAAATAACTTAATTATCGTTAATTTAATATTCCATGCTTACTAAGTTCTTCCAGTTTGTTACATAGTTCAATAGTAGGATAAAATGTTTTGGAGTCTGAATCAATACTCACATAATTGGCTCCTGCCGGTCTTTAACAACAATGTTAGTAGCCTGTCGGGTGTCGTTGCGCAGCTTTTCTGCCATATATTTGTTATACCTGCATAACGATGACGTAACGATAACGAAACTGTCGTTGAAAGTTAAAGAATACTTGCTTGCGTCATGACACGATCGGCAAGTGTAACTTAGTCGGAATTCGCGACGGATCATTTGAATGCCCGATAAAATGGCATGTTGTTTGGCTTAAAAGTCAGAGTCCAACAACTAGCCGTGTGTCTTCCCCAAAACAAACTTTATTCTGCACGTTTGCAATGACCTAACTTCCTAAACGACAAACCCAACCTCGGCTGCCGCCTCTACCTGTGTGTAACACGTAGAGCTACAAGCTAAGAAAGGAGAAAGGACAGAGATGTGTCGATTGTGAGGGATGACGCTGAGACGGGAATCGCATTCGATTAGAGATACCTTATTACGCGTATCCTGTCTTTCTCTCTCTCTCTCTCTCTCTCTCTCTCTCTCTAAACATATACATAATATCAGATGTCTCGTTTTGTGTTTCTCTGACAAGAAAACACTTCGATGGCGTGCGTTCGGCGGAGGGAAATCTATATACAGCTAAGATCGTTTACAATCGTTGCGGGGTGGTCGTTGGATTCACGAGAAAATTGGCACTCGACAAGGTAACAGTTAACACCGTGATTCCCTAGCACTGATGGCAACGATAGCTTCAAGAACGTCGTTAACGAAAGAAAGCAAGTATTATCCTCTTATGAGAAAGGAAGATCACGAGCGTACAGTAATGTTTTGTGCAAAACATTATAGTCTCTACTCCTACTTCTCTATTATTGAGAAAAAACAAAATCAAATCCATATGATTGTTACTATTAGCCTGATTCAATGTGATGACTAGTTTCTCAGCGGCATCCAGTCTACAAAAACAATAAATTGGTAATAAACTTAATAAATGTGAGTAATTAAAAAAAATCCAAAGAACTGATTTTCTTCACCATTTTTTTCGTGACGTAGGTCTATGAAACCTATCGTGTCACATCAGCGTCAAAATTGCAGGTGTTATTATCAGGGTTAAGCTCGAAAAAGTGCGTTACTTCTCCGATAAGCAAGATGTTAGCAGTGTTCTAGCAGATTGGCAGCAAATTCAGAATCCCACAACAAAACTATAGACACCTGCGTCCGCGTTAAGCTCGCTGTTGACAGAGTCTACTGACATGATTTGACAGCAGATTAGCGGCACATACCGAACAGATCCTGCTGCCAAACTATGCGCAGGGTCTGCTCAATTTGTGCCGATAATCTGCTGCAATCAAATAATTAGAGGGTTTGCTTGGTTTCTGTCATCAATCTGCTGGAATAGCGTGTCAGCAAGCTCGGTCAGATTTTTGGCGGCAATTTCACAACGTCACCAGGTAGAACGGATTCTGTGACGAATAGTTTGTTGTCTTTCAAGAATTTACAGCAGGCTCTGCTCAGAATCTGTAGGTTTGGTTTCGTTATCTCCTCTCATCATTGAAGAACATCACTCGATAACGACCCGCTACTCTTTCAGATTACTGATGAAGCGCCCGCCGATATTTCGGAGCTGAGATTACCCAGTTCTCTCTCTGTCTCTCTATCTCTCTTTCTTTTACGTGAGACTTGTCCCGTATAAATTCTATGTACAACGAACACGGCAGTGATTATACACTCTGTACATATTCTTGTTATTCGCTACGTTTGCTACACGACACTTCGCCGCTCGAAGTCGTCCACGAGCCGGGACTAGGATAAATCTCTCAACGATCGATTGACCATGACGATTAATTTCGACACTCTATTTAAAAAAAAAAAATTGAACGATGAAAATGTCGGAAAGATGTGTCTTAGGCTGCTATAAAATGTGCGAATCTCTTGCGTCTGTCGTCTCGTCGATAACATCGAGAGGGAGATAGCGACGATGCGCGCGTGTCCTCCTCGCGCGATAAAAATGAAACGCGACTCAGATATGAATATCGACAGTGAAGTATTTGCGAGTACGATTGGAAGTAAACGTGAGAAATGATTTTTTCTTTTTTGCGACCGGACAAGTCGCAAATCGCAAGGGGAGTGAAAACCGACCTCCGGCTTCCGTCGCTTAGCGGTCGCGGACGAGCTCGCTCGCTCTCCGGGTGGTCTCGCGACGCGGAATTCGGGACGCGGAATTCTATTTGTAGTTTTGCGTGCCGTGCAACGTGGAAAACACACTCGGAGCTTCGTGGCATTGATAGTAATCCGCGTGGTATGTGTCTACGACTGTACTTCCAATTCGCCGAATTATTTTCTCGCAGCTAGAATTCCGCCCTGGATTCCTCCGCGAATAATAGATCGTCCGAAGCGAGTTTTACGAGCGCACGAAGGCGCGTGCATTGCGTAACGTCGCCGGTCATTACGAGAACAATAAGAGAAACTCCGATCGTAAGGAGTTCTTTTGTGAAATGAAGGGAGGGTGGGAGGGAGAGAGAGAGAGAGGGAGGGGGGGAATTAATCAAATTTTTAAAACATACTGAGCGATAAATTTCGTAGTCTTTGTAAAAGATCTTAGCACCATCGGCGAGGGAAATACACATAAATAGGTTTAAGATCGCCAGTAACATCTGTTTTCGTTCATCTCTGTATATAAAAAAACGATAAGATAAAACGAACAAAACGCCAGATAAAAATGGAACGAACGCTAAACTGTATTTTTCACGACCGAAATTATGTATGTACATGCGGTTATTATGCTTTTTGATTGCTATATGCGTATATACGATTATTCAATTGTTCCGTCAGAAAGTCACAACTGAAAATAATCCCTCTTAACACGTACAGCAACTCCTACGCATCCAGTTGCATGAATTAATCCGAGCCCGGACGAAATCGAGTTTTCGAAAATACGTCTGAAATTTCGCACGCCTCCGTCCCGCGCTGTTAAATCGGTATCACCCTGATTATTATTACCAGGATAGGTCGAATTGCGGATGTTGAGAGCTGCCTTCGCAGAAATCGAAAGTGGCGCAAGTGATAACGAAACTTTATTTTCTCAAGTTTTTCTCACCCGAACTCGGGCGCAACTCGACGAATGTGACACTGAAATTACTTTTGTTGCCGACTCCGAAATCCTAATCTAGATTGGTATCGCTGAAAGACCCGAAACCTAAACTCTCCTATCCGTTCGTTAGCATTTTCTTTCCGCGTGGTTCGTGGAACGCTCCATAGAAAAATAAAGGGAAAACTGGAGTGTCTCGTTCGTTCGTCTCTGAAGCTCGACTCAGAAAACGACGGGCGTGTCGACTTCTTTTGCTGCTAGTTAGTAAATTACGCACGGTTACATTGTTTTTTTTTTCGCACGACATATTAATAGAATCGTTTAAATCTACGTCTATCAATGTTTTCTACTCGGAAATAGTTATTCTGTAATAATTATAGTAATTACTCTTTTTATAGTCTATCAAAATATTCATCACAGTGCTACGGACANATATATATATATATATATATATAATGATTATATGTGTAAATAATAATTTTTGTTACTTCCTCCACGGAAAAACTCGCCGGTTCCGGTCGCCCGCGCCTTACTCGCATTCGTCGGCGGCGAAGAGTAGCGGAAGGTCTGAAAGAAACCGAAAACTGATAAACAAAGAGAATATCTCGGCCTGATCAGAAGTTTTTCCTTCTCGTCGCGAAACACACGACGAGCCATTACCCGTTCCATCATTTCCTGCGGCCGCGCCAAGTAACGCATCGATAACTTTGTACTCTTCATTGCACGTACGGTACCTTCTCTTTTCGTACTCGACACACATTCAGATATGCACATACACCGCGGGTGAACAGGCGACCGGGTTACGCCGGCGGAGTTTTTACGCTTATATATCACTTGTTGTATCGTTTTAAACGTAGGGTGCTACACACACAATGGCAGTATCATCCCGCTTAAAAACTCTTACTCGATCTCTACGCCTGTGACTATATTTACAGCAATATAAGTTGAGAAAATGGCCTCCCAACGAGATCGTCCAGCCTGCGATAAACTTCCGTAAATGTAATGGTTAGCAGCATGCACTATAGTAGCGATTACAATACAAACGCTGGACAACAAAGAACAGAAAGAAAAGATCGGCGTAAAATCCCTCCAGTGCGCGCTCCGTGAATTGACCGATTTTCCTATTACGATTCACTCTCTCTCTCTCTCTCTCTCTCTCTCTCTCTCTCTCTTTTTTACGCGTTTTCTCACGGTTTAATCAACGGAAAGGCGTCTCTCTCTGTCAACGCAACGCAGAATCGTACAACTGAAAAAAAAAAAAAATATGCATCGGTACACAGCCCTGCGATACGAGGGATAATTTGAAACGAAAAAACTCGGCACACGCGTGGAGTTACACGCGTAGCATCCTATATTGCAAGCGCGAACCATAGATCAAAGTGACACTTCCCTCCCCCTTCCCTCCCCGAAGCGGAAAGTGTAATCGCAATTTCGAGATTTCAATGTCAATCGGACCGGTCATGTTGGAATCCAATGGCCGAATCAGAAGGCTTAACTTTCTAACTTAACTATTGACCGCGCGCGAGCCGCGTGCAAAGAACGTAATTTTCGCTCTGCAAACGTTAGCCAATTATTTCACACAGAAAGAACGTACAATCGTCGACAATATCATATAATCTTATAGCACTAGGTATTATAAAAATTATACATCATTTCGTACAACAATAAATTATTGTTCCAACATGAACGGTTAGTCCGTCCTTAGCACGTGTCTCTCGTATTTCCCTCCTCGCATTCTCTCACGCTCTCTCGAACCCTCTCAGCCCCAAACCCTCTCCGTGATCCGAAATAAATCGGGATGAACCAATTGAATGATCTCACTTCGTCAAATCTGCATCCTTTGTTTGAACATTATCACAATTGTCTCTCGAGCGACTAACGCTTGTGTACACCAGGCTGTTTTCTACTCCCGGAGCGTCCCGAGATCTCGGGAGCGAGGTTTGCGAATTAGAAGGTAGTAACAAATCACAATAACATCCCAACTACGTGTTTTCTCTAAAGCGGTGCGGGATCGCGATGGTGTGGTGTACGTGTCGCCGTCGGCCGCCGGAGTGGCATTGGAAGAAGAAGTAAGAAGAAAGCTCGACTTCGAATTTGGATGGTTGAGGGTGGCGACGCATCGAATCACACCTCGACGTGAAGGGGACTGGGCGGGCGGAACGATTGGCAGCAGCCCCATGGAAAGAACCACGTGGCTCAGCACCTTGGCGAGAACTTCGGATTCGTAGGACCGTGGATGTAGCTCCTGAGTTCCTTCGGCGGCTCCGAGCCGAAGTCCGACGCCGTGTCCACGTCGGACTTGCGGCAGATGATCATACGGATATCCGTATGCAGATAAATTCGACCTGACTTGCTGGACATAAATCTGAAACGAGCAAAATGCGCACCGTCAGCCTGCAGCCTTTTCTCTGTCCGTCGACTTTTACAGTCGTCGTCAGCTCGCGTGACGTGACGTCATTGACACGTTAAACGCCCCGTTACTCATATCTGGGTGACGCGCGAATTTCCGCTTCTCATCATTTGCGGATGACGGTTTTGCTTGCCTCATGACGAATGATTTTACTAAATGCTCGAAAGAATATCGAATAGAAAGCGGGAAATGTTAATATAATACACGGAGAATTTGCCCCTGGACAGGCCTATTCTGTAACGACAATGTCGTTATTGTTACACCGAGAGAAAAGTATTCGGTATTTGTAATTATAATCAGCATAGTGAAAGTGCCCAAACAGCTCGCAATATTTATAAGATTTTTGAAAAATATGGATATTAAATATTTTGTAAATATTCAATGTCCGGGAAAGTTAGATATGAAAAAGATTATGACAAATATTCAAAAATGAATTTGAATGAGAAATATTTTTTATAAATAATTAAAACATGATTTTACTTGAGTGATTATGTACTGTTTGGAAATTACAGGAGAATTATTTTTTAGCAAGTGTTATTACAGTATATCTTACGTGCAATCTTACATGGCTATTATCATTTTTGTGACTAAAATCATAAAAGGCTATAATTGAGGTCGAAAGTAACTATAATTTCTCTCAGTTTACGCATCGTTAAGCAGTTTCTTTATCATATTTTATACGAAAATAGAAAAAAGATCAGTTAAATTAACATGACAATGAACGAGTTAAACGCGTGTTAATTGAAAGAAACAGAATTTCTAGTTCTTGTGAACCTAAATGTACTTTTCAAGAACCAGAGGAATGCTATTTCTTTCAATCAAGACGCGCGTGTGGTTCGCTCATCGTCGCGTTAATTCAACTAATCCTTTTTTCCTCCGTGTATCTGCGTAGCGATAACGGAGGACAATGTCACGACAATGACACTGTTAAAAGATATGGAATAGATATGCCCAGTGAGATTCATACGTGGAGATCGACGTGTCAAGACTGCCGACGAAGCGCGATTATGCGTACCTAAGGTGAACGAGGTAGCGCAGTGTTTTGTCCCGCAGTGTTCTTTGACGTAAAAAAGTATGAGATCGCGGCGGCATGTCGGAAAGATCGTACAGTACTACAAACATCTTAACGACTGTACCCAACGGATTGAGAAGGGTCACTTGGATGGTACCGCTTCTCGGTACCTGATAGCCTTTCTTCTCCAGGTTAATGTGAGCCTGCGAAACAGAAATAACAGTGCTACGAGCAGAATAACAAAGTGGTGAGAGGTATCCGGTTGCTCTCACTCCGATTTCCCCGAATACGTACAAGGTATGGCGTGGAGACTTTGTCGTTGTCACCGAGCGTGTAGAAGAACACGGTGACTGGAAGCTTCTGGTGCTTCGGGCAGAAAGAACCGCTGGCGCCGAGCTCCGCCGTGAAACCGTGAACGGTGGACACTGGCTCGAGTCGGCCGTTCAATGCCGACTCTTCGAAGCTGCCTAGGAGAGCGTGACTCTGCGGCCGGTGGCGAGAACTGGACCGTCTTCTCGGTGTCTCCTCGCCCTCGCCGGCGTTCTCCGTCTCGCGATCAGTTTCCTCCAGTGACACCGCGCCCGGGCTCGGCGGCGTGTTCAGCTCGAACAGTGCGCTGCAACGCGCAATGGTACGTCGTGAAAGATTTTGTGTTTCAGGCTTTACCGACGTGGAGGAAGCTTTCAGATTTGTCCTCCGGGCTGGAGCCGTGTCTTTTTGCGCATTTATTGCCAACGTGTCGTGAACATCCCAGTTCACTTCATCAAGAAGCAACTTGATACCGAATCGTTTCTCGGTTTACTCCTTTATGAATCGAGATTAGACATTTTTATCCTTGTTGAATTTTTTCACTATAATTTAGGATTTTCGTTAGTTTTATTTCTTATTCATTTAAATCTCTCACTAACATATAACTTTTACTCCCTTTATTTCTCACATATTTAAATATTTTTATTACCAATTTGTAATTTACACTGGTTTCATTTTTTACACGCGTTTAAACTTTTTACCAATTTATCACTTTTACTTGATTTTATACTCATTTAAATATTCGTACTAATTTATAATTTATACTGGTTTTGTTTTTTGTACGCGTTTGAATTATTTACCTAATTTGTAACTTTTATCCATTTTATTTGTTTGAATATTTTTATTAACTTATAATTTACGCCGGTTTCCTTTTTTACACATCTATTACTTATTGATACCCACTGAAAAACGATTCGGCATCGGATTGCCCATCTGACTCGAGTGACTTTCTACTCCCGAAGTGAACTGAAATGTTTACGAAACGTCGGGAAGAAATCGGGAAAGAACCCCGGCTCGAAGCCGGAAGCGAGAGAACGCGGAAAAGACGGAAACTCCTTCGTCGGATAAAGGTCGCACCTGCGTTTAGAAGAGACGGAATTCAAGCTGCTGTCGTAATCGAAGCAACAGCTGCCCCTCCTGAGCGGCGCCGGGCTGGAGGTCAACGGCAGGCCGGTTCTGCTGTGGAACACCATCGACGCGGCGTTCTCCAGCGAGCGGCGGAATCTCTCCTGCTCGAGAGCGGACGGCACGCCCCGGTCGACGGCCTCATCGTCCTCCACCACGCCGTCCTTGTGATTATTGTTGTTCCGCGCCTTGGAAGACGAAAGTCCGTTCTGCGTCGCAGCGGTCGTCAGCAGGTTGTTCTTCGGGACGGCGGTGTCCCTCGCGTCGTCCCGCTCGGCGAGCGGGCCCGCGTCCACGAGCAGCCTGTCGCAGCCGCCCTGCCGATTTAGGCCCGCGGAATCGCGATCGTCGACGTGATTTGTACTATGTATCGGTGGCTTTTGATGTGCGTCTTTTGTACTGAGCCCTGGAGCCGCCGCCGGGCCCTTCCTCTCGGCGGCCTCCGGAAAGTTCGCGAAGTCGATTCGCCGCTTCGTCTTGCTCCTCGCGGAGTTGTGCAGATTCTCCGGCTGCTCGTTGTTGTGGCGCGACGAGGACGCCGGGCTGGAGCACCGCGCTGGCTGCTCCAACGAGCCCTCCCCCGTCGCGTCGTTGGTGGTCCTCCGGTCGTCCTCCCTCTTGAACAGCTGACGGATCTTGTTGAATCTCTTGTTCACCGCGAGCGGCAAGGTCTTCTCGTCGGCACAGACGGTCCTCTGGTCCAGCTCGAGCTTCTCGAGGCTCGTCGCGCGAGAATCGTCGCTGTCGTCGTCGTCAATACTAGTCGTCGACCTCGGTCTGGTCCCGTTTGAAACGTCCAACCGGGCCTTCCGCTCCGGTTGCCTGTCCCTGCTGCCGTTCCGCAGGATCGCCCCGAGCAGCACGTCCGCCTTGGTCGAGACGTTCTGCAGCCGCTCCGCGTCGCCGTTCACGCCATCCTGCCGCGGCTCCTCGCCGCACTGGTTCCACTCGTGGAACTTGGAGTGCGCCGGCTGGTAGATGTTCTTGTCGTAGTAGACCCGGTCCAGAGCCGGCTCGCCCGAGGGCTGTTCCGTCTTCTTGTACAGCCTCTTGCAGTCGTAGAGCTCGCAAGGCTTGATCGAGCGGTTCGTCGCGCTCAGCGAGCACAGCTTGTCCTCTTCGCCGGCCTTCTCGGACCGCTCGCGTCTCTTCACGTTCTTCACGGTGGCCCTGCGGCGGCCCGAGGGCGTCCTGGCGCGCAGGACCGCCAGCACCTCGTTCACCTCTCGCGGGCTCAGCTCGAGATTGCAGTTCTTGAACTTGATCTCGTTGGTGCCCTGGTGATGATGGTGCTCCGGCTGCTTCGCGTCGGTCTTCGTCTTGCTGTTGTTATCGACGCAGCCCTTCGCAGCCGTGACTCCCAGCACCCTACCGGGCACTCTGCTGAACCAATCGAGGATCCCCCCCTCCTCCTGCCTGTCCTTCTCGTTTGGGAACGACAGTTTCCACATGAGGTGGCCAAAGTCCTTGCCGGTCCTCCCGCGACCCTTGGCGGTATTGTCTTCCTTATCGTTGGCCTCCACCGCGTCCGCCGGAGCAGTCTTGTTGGCGTTCTTGAAGCAACTCTGGTGTACGGTGCAGGCGGAATTGTCCACCTTGCGGCAGTATACATTATTATACGTCGAGGGCCCAGGATTCGACTCGTGAAAGGGATTGGGCTGAGCGTACGGGTCGATCGCGATGTTAGTGTCCTTGGCGATCGGTGGCTTGTAACACCTCTCGGAGTCGTTGAAGCGCGCCTCCTTCGCGCCGCAGAAGCTCTGGAACTTGCTGTTCATGTTGCTGTTCTGCCACGAAGAGACGAAAGACCAAGGCAGCCCGGACGGCAATTGGGGAGCGAAGGGCCCGAGGTTCTCCAGTAGGGCGCCTTTCAATCCCGCGGCTTTGGTCTCGCACGAACTGTTGGACCCTCTTCCGGGATTGATCGAGCTCTTGGTGGAGTTGTTGTAGCTCTCCTCGATCCGGTCGACGTTGGTCTTCGAGTTGGCAACCTCGGCCACCTCCGTCGCGCGCTTGCAACGCTTCTCCACGCTGCTGTCGCGGTCCTCGATGTTCAGCTGCGCCTTGAAGCAGCGCTCCAGGTGGTCCGCGTTCAGATTGTTGCGGGCCCACACCTCGTCCCTGCTCTCCGACTTGTTCTGAAGCGTCCGCGCCGCGCTGCGATTGTTCGCCATCTCGGTGGTGCCCCTCACGCTGTCCTTCGCCTCCTGCAGGATGGACTCTTGGAGGGACGGCATCGGCACCGGCTGCAAGGTCACGCAAAAGTTCTCAGCCGGGCCGCAGGGGAGTGATCGGCGGCGCTTCCGTTCGCTGTTCGACCTGATGGTGGGCGACAGAGGCGACGCGTCTTCCTCTTCGCAGTGACAGTGGTGCTTGCCGGACTTGTTGCAGGAGGTTTGCAACCTGTCGTCCACCAGAGCTGGGGAAACAGTCAGTCGCGTAAATCTCGACGGTTCTTCACGTTCTGAGCGAACTCCTGAGAAATCCCGGGGGAATGCCAGAGTACTCTCCACGTTTCTCGGGGTGAGATCTCACCCGAAAAGTGGAGTGACAGCCGAGTGATCTTTCCCTCGTACAGAATGAATTATCCGCCCTGAATCGCCGAGTATCAGTATTTTCACCCGAAAACGATGAGCGATTCTGATGTATTCCACCCGGTATGTATTCACGGTAACAAATTCACTCTGAATGAAGCTCAGAACCCGTTCTCCAAGCTCGAGCGAGGTATTCACTCTTGCGATTTCGAGTGGCGATATTTTCACTATCGCTCGGAGTGCCGCCACTTTTCGCTTGTTTCGAACGAGATTCCACGCAAAGAAATCTGGAGAGTACAAAGGACGCGAAAGTTCAGTTCGCACAGTTCATTACCAGGCAAGACCAGACCCTCAGGGGGATTCTGCGCAGCGACGGACACCGGGATGCTCTTGGTGGGCGTCAACGCTCTCGCAATATCCTCCTCGTCTTTCTCCTTCTTCGGATGCAACGAGCACGTCAACACCGGCACCTCCTCCATCCGCGGCAGAGCCCAGACGGTGATCTGCAATCGAGATGTTCAGCGTTCGAGTCCTTGCGCGTAAGAGCGATTCTCTTGTGAGATTCGGAGCTCCTTGCACCGGAGGATCGAGGTACACATGCTTTTTTCTCGACGTGACATTACGATGGACGCGCGCGCGCGTGTGTGTGTGTGTGTGTAGGTCTTTTCTTTTCAGCTGAACTAAAATACACTTTTTATACATTTTTTGTCCTTAGAGTGAAACAAGTAGGGAAAAGAATTTAAATATGGAACGGTTTCAAGTATCAAAGAGAACTACTGTACTTTAAAATATAAATATTTAATGAACAATCGGCAATAATGTTGACACATACATCTGATAAGACGTACCATTAGTTATCAAGACCAAATATACGACTGTTAAAAAGATACACGAATCTTTGTCCGCGCATGTCAAATCGAAGATTTGAACAAATAGAGCGCTGATACAGAACGAGCAGAGAAATGAAAGAAAATATTTTTTCTTATAGTGTTATGAGCTTTTTTTATTTATTCAACCTTCTTCGATGCATTTATATACAAAAAGGACAGTAAAAAATATATCATTTTTGCAAAATGACAAGAAAGTGGCTCAAGTAATTTAGTATTTCGGCACGTATGTGTAAGAGACTATATATACAACAAGAAAATTAACTTAAATAAATAAATATAACAAATAATTTCTTTAAAAATGAAAACAAAATTGTTCTCGGCATTGCAGCAGCTCGGCAATTATCGTCTTTCTCGGCAAACCTGTCACACTATAATACAAGACGTTCTATATTGCCACTAACAGCCATTTTCTTACACAATCTAATGGATTTAAACGTAGCACACGTATTTCCAAATGATAAACCTACTACTTCATACTTTAATCTTAATACTATCTGACACACAAGAGCTAATATTTCATACTTAACAATATACATACAAAAAAAAATTTAAATTAAATCTTATCTTGCTATGTCGTACTACTTTCGTAAGACAGAATATTCGTTTACGCTGCGTCATTTTAACGCCAGCATTCTCGAGTGACCTAGACGGAACCTAATGTTTCTAACGAGAATGCGTAGTAAAAAACATTTTGTATTTATATTCAAATCGGTCTTTATTTTTCTAAATAATTTTGTTAAATTTTTAATACATTTGTCCGTTCATTTAACATTTATTGTTTTATTATTTCAACATGTGTTAGTGTTAAAATAACACATTTTATATACTTCAGTGTCGACTAACGTATTAATTTTGTGTTCATCTTTGCCGTAATTTACATTACTTTTCAATGTATTTTCACTTTGTGTTAAATTAACACAAATATTTGAGCGGACCGTCCATGGGACATATGGAACACGTCAAGTTTAATACAACATTTTTTATTGTGTTATCAATAGTTTCAATGGTTTTGGCACAAATATGGCGAATTTCCTATTACAACTCCGTTTCTATATTTACACCCTTTCCCGTGTATGATCTAAAGGTGAAGGGAAAAGAAACGAGATTCTAATATAGGTTTCAGTGTAGCGCTAGTTCAGCTAAAAGGAACAGGCCTTTTCGTGCGTTCTCAGGTATCTATTACCTTGATGGAATTTCCGTCGCCGTTACCAGCCAAAGGAAAGGTGTGCTCCACCGGAGTCTCCCGAAACTTCCTGAGATTGTCTTCGTTGTGTGGCACGATACGAGTGGCAATGTAACTTGGCTCCGCACCGTTGCTGCGTGACCACCACGCCGCGACCTGGCTGAAGTGCAGCCGCGAACGGACCGCCTGGTATAATCCTTGGTAGTTCATCGTTTCTGGACTCCTGCAAGTGTCCAGGGCGAATCTATCTTAAAACGCAGGTCAATATGATGGCAGAACGCTCTCGTCCACCGGGATGCCAACTGAAATTTCCCGCACGTAGCAGCGCAAAAGGCGCGACTTACTTGCTCGGGACAATAGAAATACACCAGTATTCCAGTAATATATCCGACGTGTGCTGCCATGGCGAGATGGACGGCACAGGGCAGACTGGATACTTGCTGGTGGACTTCGCCAAACCGCACGGACAATCACTGCACAGAAGCACTTCCACGCACAGATACGAGCCGGTGGCAATGCGTTCCGCTATTTCCCGGATTAGTACCAAATATCGATCGCACTTGAAAGAAATTCGAAGGACAATTTTCGTGAGAAACAGAAGGAGAAAAGAAACTCGATTAATTGAGGGAAAAGTGTATTTTCGATGCGGTTTGAATGTTTCTTTTTTTTTTCGATGCAGTTCGAGACACGACGGATGTCCAATGAGAGGATTTACCTTCTGAGAATTATTCAGAAACAAATTCTCCTATTGTGCACCGGGACCGTTTCCTAGACTGCATAGAAATAAGAAGCTTTCAAACCGTATTTATTATCATTATTATTATTAAATAAGCGGAAAAACAAATATTCAACTTTTGGGGGAATTGTACAAAAGTATATTACACCTTGCAAGATCCACATAAAGAAGAATAAAGATCATAAACTGAACAACAGACGTTTCAAAATAACGATTTACTCAATCTAATTCTCTAAACAAGTATCACGAGATACGTTAAAAAATTCGTTAATCCGATTAGCCAAAATTGAAATTGAACAGTATCGAGAACAGTACCGAGCGTACAGCGATGATGGTCGCGACGCATTTCCCAGCAGGGAAAGACGCCTCAACGATCAACGACCGAACGATCTGGATGCAAATTATTTTGCAAAATCGCGAATTCGGGCTCTCGTTCGCAAGCGACGACGGGATCGTCGTGGGAAATTTGGTTGCTTTAATTTCGACAGGCGCATTGTGTGCTCCTCGCGGTGGCGCCATTGAAAAAGCTACGAAAGTGGGTCGCTTAGAAACAACGGCGAGTAACGGGGACACCATATGCTGCTGCTGTTACTTACTAAATAGTTGGTCTCCTCACACACGTGATCGTTTGGGACCGCCTGCATAGGCGGTGCACAGTGTGGACCCTCTTTGTAGCCACGCGGAGGGCCCTGTATTCTCCCTTCGCACACTAGGACTCCAAGGGCTCGAAACACGCTAAGAGTACCATCCCGGCCGCCAACCCCGTTCGGGCTGGAGGTGCCAGCCGTCACCGCGCCTAGGCAGTGCATACCTGCAGTGCAAGGAATAATCAATGCTCGCGATCGAACATTGGACATGTCGCGGAAGAGGATCCGTGGATCGCGCAATTGACCCCAATTAGGGCCGGTCAGGCAGAGTTTAATTAAATCCTCCTTCTCTAGCCGCTCTCAGTGCGAGTGGCCTTTACTTTTGGGGGCGTCTAAAAGCGAAGCTCTCGAATAGTCGTGAGGAAGTGAATTTCCTTCACGCAGGTTAAAATCTTGTTTTTTTTTCGCGATTTTACCGCGCAGCAATTTCCCGCGCGGAAAAGAAATGTAGTCGCAACAACGGAATCGATCGACAGCGAGCATAATTGGAATATATCTTCCACATTGGACAGCAATATTATTGCGATTGATTTATTTATTTAAACGGGGGGTATTCTTAATTTATAAGTAAAATAAAGAAACGGAAAAAATGCACGGAAATACCGAACTAATTTAGACTTCGATGCAATAAAGATAAATAATAAATACAAAATAATAAAAGAAATTCAAAATGAGAGTATATGAGTCAGGTAAGGTCTGAAGGCACTAATTAAGTTATGAAAAATATCAATATAATATAATAAAGTCCGATACTTCATAAGCCAATACATAAATTCGACTAATTGAATTGAAACGTCCGTAATTTGTACAATGAAATTCATCATAAAATACATTGCCTGAACGGGCCATTACAGACGGCGAATGTAAATAGAAAATTTGGAGAATTTCAGGACAAATTATTTTATGATTAAACATATTACATATAAAGAACAAATCGATTATTACATATATACAAAATAAAATATTCGTTTATTTCTCAATTGTTGAAAATCTATGACATATTAACTCAGAGTGACATAATACATTCATAACACGATGCTGGTAGAGAATTATTTCAGTAACATCTGGGAGAACGAAAAAAACGCTGTTGAATTCTTCCAATTAAAAGGCGATTATTATTCCGATGTGGAGATTAAATTACGGGCCATTATTCCTAAAAACGGACGAGACAAGAATGACGTGTAGTGTTCTGAGTTTTGTCAAGTTTTAAAAGTATCTAGTTGTCCTATCATAGTTTTAAAGGCTTGGAAAAAATCCAAGCTTTTGCAATTTTTAATGGTTTTGTTCGCGGATAAATGAAAAATGGGAGGAAACGAGATTTTTCAATTTTTTTCACAGACTTTTTGTTTCTTTCTGAGCAAAATGAAAAAAAAAAGTGGCTTTTTAAAGTAACACATAGGTTCTATGAATAAAATCAAGAGTCCTGAGAGCAATGCCAGCAGTTATCCTAATATGGAGTCCGAAAGACAAGTTAGATATGCAAAAGTAATCACCAAAATCACGAATATAGTCGACTTTTGATAAAATCGCTCGGCTTATGGTAAAAATTCTCGTTGTTCGGGCCAGGATTGAAAACGAAACGGGAAAAACATCTGGATGCTCGAGTTACTGAAACAACGTGTGACGTGTTCGACGCAACGGCATTTTTTTCCGGTATGCGCGAGGCGCGTCGGAAACCGGCGATTTCCGCCGAGGAGCCCACGGACTGGTTCCGATAAATAATCGCGGCTGAGATCCCCCCGATGGGCTCCCGGCGATTGTTTACTCGCACATGCGAGGCGAGCGCTTTTCGAATGTCATTGCTCCGCGGCTTAGCTTATCGCTAAGTGATCGAAACACAATCCCGGAGCGTACACGTCGCAGGCCAACGTGCTCGGGACGGCTCGTACGGAGACCCCCGGATTTTTGTCGTCCCTTTAAATTTGTTGTTGTGTCACGTCCGCAGGACTGGTTATAGCCGGGCGCGTGGAGCACGTGATGAAAGAAAACAAGGTGCAGTCCGGCCTGCTGCGGCGGGTAACAGGTTTTCCGGACGGTTAGTACAAAGGCGGCATAGGGCCGATGCATTGACTCGTGCGTTGCCGATACGCGAATCCCGTTGAGGATCTCGTGGAACGTCCGGCGCTTTTTAACGTCGCCGATGTAACGATGCCAGCATTTAAATCGCGAATATCGCGGCCGTGAGAGCGGCCGACTCGGATTTCGCCGTGGACACGGAAAGATAACGGGCCGACAACACGCGGCAAAAACACGGTTGATTTCGCCGCGTTCGCGAAAATTGATCACAGTCACAAGACTGTCGGACTGTCGGCGAAATAGTAGCCGCCGCCTCCTCGGGCCAACCGCGGACTCCGCGATTAATCTCGCGTTCACAGGTGCAGTTGCGCGAGGGGAGCCACGGTCTCGGACGAGTCACGGACATCGTCGGACGCGCCATGCATACTCACGATTTCGACTGATTAACGCAACGACTATCGTCGATTCGAACGATTAAGTAATCACGAAATATCGCTCTTCAAAAAAATTCCGTCTCGGCACGGTCAACAAATGAGATAGGAGTATCTTCCGCACTAGATAACTTCGATTGCCGAAGTTTGCTAGCCGGGCGATGAGAAAAAACAAATAATAATAATATTTTCTTTGTCAAACACAGAAGATTAGGAAATCAAAGAATGTTCAACGTGAGTGTAGCGAGCGACCGAAAGGTGAGGTGACTGCTATGCAACTGATTTTGCTGCCTAATTTAAGTGTGCATGAATAAATGCGTGAAGCAGCAAAACAAGGTCTTATATAAATGAAGCGATACATAGTGACGCAAAACGTCATGGATACAAATGTAATTTATACATCACGTAATACTAAGATGACGAGTAAAAGACAGCGAAAAAGATTCAACCGTTAGTTATACACAGTGGAGAGCATTTTGTGTTAAAATCGGTCCATGTTAGAATTCTTGCGTTAAATTCCTGACATACCCGTGCGTTAATTTAACATATTGTATCTGTTATCTCAGTATTTTGTATCGAGTCGATATTCACGTGAAAGTATTAAAATAATATATATTTTATACTTCAATATCGATTAATATTAATTGTTGTAATATTAATTTTGTGTGGACCGTTTGTGGGTCATGTGAAATGTGTTAAATTTAACACGAAATTTTTTGCTGTGTAATACGCCTCAGTGCAGAGCACAAAAATCCCTGAGAGAACCGATCGAATCTCAAGTATCGTAATGTTTAACCGTTTAATTGTAATACTAACTAATACGTATACATCGAGTATTAAGGCGTTATAATTATTTAATTGAATCTGTCATGCGCGAGACGTGCAGGAAGTAAAGCGTGTCTTTCGAGATTGATTCTCGGCCACGTCACCGCGCGCATTATCGCGCTTTCGCGAGATTTTTTCCGGCTGATACAATGCCGACCCCAATTTAACGAGCCGGACGACGTCGTTCGGAAAAGCGAACGAAAGGAGATATTTTGCGAGCGAAGGAAAATTATCGAGCGTATCATAAGCGCACGCGATCGAACGGGTCGCGAGAGTGCTTAACGACGCGTTACATAAACGGAAAGCCAGTGCGAGCGGAAACTCGAGGTCTCTTAATATCTACTCTCGCTGGCCACGTTACGTCAGCGAAACGCACGCGCGCACCGACTTGCGCCATGGTCTGGCCGTGGTCGGCGCGATTTTTCGTCTGTCCGCATTTAATCGGCCGACGTGAAAAAGCGTCGATAAGCTCGTCGACGGCGGATCGGCGCGTGTTGCGCGAGCTCCTGACCTCGCGAAATGCACAAAGGCTCCGCGTGAGTCCCTCGTGACGGCTCGAGCGCCGAATTCGTGATCGAGACTCGTCCCACGGCTGTGCTCCTGCACGTTAATCGCACCGAGGTGCGATCTAATTCTCCGCGTCTTTGTTAACTCTTTACGGTGACTTTCACCAAACTCCGATCAAGATTTCAAATTACTATCAATCAAGTACTATTGATCTTTATCTTGCTAACGAAGATAGAAATTATTTACTTTTAAATTTTTGCCGAACAAATTGCAAAACTGGGGAAATTGTGTTGGCAATTCTTATTATTATTAGTTTCGCGAATAAATTATAATTTATCACGTATCAAATATATATATATATATATTTCGTTATTACAACAGAACTTTGGCTCTTGTATTATTCGATTTTATATCTCGACAGACGTTTGATTATTTCTATTTGCAGTTATTATTATTCATCGATTAGCTTAATTGAAGTTTGATGAAAGTCAATTTTAAACTTGTGACATTTTGAGGAAATTAAAATCGCCTCTCTTTTTCTCTTAATTATCGGTTCAATTTTCAACACATATTTCAGTCCAGAGACACGAAGGAGCGGTGAAATTTTCCGCACGAAGAAACCGAGGAACCGACGATTCGTTCGAGCGATTGATTGACCAGGACAGAGAGCGCGGCGAATACAAGCAATAACACGGACAACGGTAGACGTCGCGAATCCGTCGTATTCATTCTCTCGTCCCTCGAGCGTGTTAAAGAGCGCTCGTTAAGCTCGATACGCCCCTGAACGCGTCTGCGTGGAGTAGGAAGGAGTGGTGGGGGAGACGGCGTGTATCGATGGCGTCGTCAGCTGAGCGCACCACTCACAGCTGGGTGCGACGCTGTCGCCGAACAGCTGATCGCGTCGTCGCGCTGTCAGAACATGGCGAGCCAGCGCGGAGTGCGGGTCGCGAGACCGCCCTGCATTTTTAGGTCGCACTGACCACGGGCCCGCGGTCTCAGGGCCGTACGAGCGAGGAAAAACGCGTCTGCCGACGCCGTGACGATGAGAAAAGAAACGGCCCCGAAAGGGAAACGGCGCCTCCCCGCGCGAACTTTAAATCGCCTTATTATGCCCGTTTCTTCCCATCATGGTGCAAATTTAATCGACGATGAACTCAACGAAATTGGCCAATTTCGTTGAACTGATCAATAAGATTGGTCCATTCCGTTGAGTTGAAATCTAATCGTCGATTAGATTTAAATCATGATGGTAGAAACGGGCATCAACGTGATTAATTCTGACACGCACGATTCTTCGGCCGGGACAATAAGCGAGAAAGCTTTCAGCTGAGCGACAGGAGATAGATACCAAAGGCTAAAAAATGTATGATTCTTGACGTTAGTAT